CTTATTATTAATGCACCCACAACGTCAAATCAGATACACAAAATCCACACAACTAATCTGCGATCTCCTTTTAACAGTAACATTGCTGACAGAAGACCAACATTTGACACCCCATATCATTAATCTCTCTATCACCTCTGCACGCATGTATTCCCCTGCTACAATCCACATGCTGGTATTGATCCAGCAGAGTAGCTTATGCCTACATTTACACACTCACAGCCATGGCAGACGGCATGACACCTGGACCACTTACGTTTTTATTCACATTCAATGATCCACAAATCGATAACATCATTTTGTCTTCTAAGCTCTGTGAATTTTTTTCTTCAAGATGTGGAAATGAAGAAAATGTTCTCCTCATAGAATGTTTCTAATCCTGTGTTGGAGTTGAAAGATAGCAGAAATATTGTACAATATTCATGATATCTGGATAAGAGAAGCTATACATTCGAAATAGGACCCAGATCCATCTCCATCTTAAAGTACAAGAACAGACCCCATCAAATTCAAATCATTCCACAAAAAGGTCTTATATTGTGTCAGAATTTGCATGTATTTATTACTTCCAACAGACTGAACACATTCATGGAATGAATGTCTGAAAGTGGCTGCACCATTGTGTGGTCTGTGATGTCGAATTCCAGGCAGAGTCCCAAGTCTATGTTTTATCAGGTATGCATTATACAATAGATGCTGTAGGGTAGAAGAATTCCTTGTCTAATGAGCACTTTGGCACTGACCATCTGCTGATTTCAATGAAAGACATCAGTGTTTTTTCTGTGTGTCCTTTAGTGACCGATCCAGAAGTAATAGTCATTGCGTCAGGTAACTCTGCATGATATTTTAGCGAATTTTGAATGAAAGCCAAGAGATTCTTGTTGGATATCAAATAATTATAGAGTTCTCCTTAGATCAAGATACAACAAACACCACAAGACTAGCCATCAATTTCAAGCAAGCACCTGTCAATTTCAACCAAGTACATAAATACTGAGAGTAACTCCATAATGTAATCTTACCACTAACTGTTTTGACAACAGTTATAATGCCAAGATCACTTTGTACAAATGAGGTGATGAAGTTTTATCTGAATGAGTGGGTTTGGTTTGATGTCATTTAGAATAGTATTTCAGTTACATCACACACACACACAGAGAGAGAGAGAGAGAGAGAGAGAGAGAGAGAGAGAGAGAGAGAGAGAGAGAGAGAGAGAGAGAGAGAGAGAGAGAGAGAGAGAGAGAGAGAGAGAGAGAGAGAGAGAGAGAGAGAGAGAGAGAGAGAGAGAGAGAGAGAGAGAGACACAGAGAGAGAGACACACAGAGAGAGACACAGAGAGAGACAGAGAGAGACAGAGAGAGACACACACAGAGAGAGAGGGCATAATAAATGGAAGAAGGCAGCTCTTGAATACAAAGTTCCCTATCTGTATGCATGAGGAACCTGTGACCACAAACTGGACTATAGCTCCAGAGGAAATCAACAATCATGCAGGGCCACTTGGGATAAAGTGGTAACCGTGCCTGTCAAGAAGCATACTGTCTGAAATGTTAGCTGACAACACTGTCTGAAGTGTTAGCTGACAGTGGTATCAAGACAGAGGGTTATGCAGAGAGAGAGAGAGGGAGAGAAAGAGAAAATAGTTCTATGCGACTTTTAGCAAGGTTCCCATAAAATCATGATAAGGTACATCAGAAATTGAATTTGCAAACTGAACCTATGTAGTCACACTCAGGTCTTTGGCTTGCTCAGCATAGTACTTTGAGTGTCACATGAAATTAATACACCAATAAAAACTTGACACACTGAACAAATTACCGCAATTACCATGATTACTTTGGTGCTGTCACCCTTGGTAAATAAGTTCACAATTGTTTTTGGTTAGTCTATTATATTTGAGCTGCTAAACATCAACAGTTTCAATTCATTGATTGAAGAACATTCATAATATTGTCGTTTTCTTCCAACTGTTTACAAAGAACAATCAGTCTGATGTAAATGCTGTGGGTAAATGCCCATGTTTCATCTTACTTAATAATGTGTTATGTTCTGTTGATTTGTCTTAGCTGAGTAATAAAAGAACATGTGTTTCTGACAACATTTAATCTCTGTAACTCCACACACAACATTCAAGCTATGACAAGGCAGCCTGTCAATAATCCAGTCTGGACCAGATAAACTGGTTGTTGATATTGTGATAATACACACCATAATCTCAATCTGTGAATATCAAACAAGGCCTTGCTGAACAAAATATGTAATATAATAGTAAATCTTTTTGTCTTGTGCCATCTTATCTGCAATTTCAAAAAAAGGTTTTACCCAGTTTGTTAAAATATGTTCATACAAACCAGAATTCACTGATGGGGTACACGGTTGAAGTAGTTTTTTTATCTGCACATAATACACGAAAAAAAATTTCCCAAAATACTGAATCCTCTAGAAGTGGTTTTGCATTATAGTCCAGTGCACACTATCCTGGAGAGGGGCGGTGGGGTAGCCTAGTGGTTAAAGCGTTCGCTCGTCACGCCGAAGACCCGGGTTCGAATCCCCACATGGGTACATTGTGTGAAGCCCATTTCTGGTGTCCCCCGCCGTGATATTGCTGGAATATTGCTAAAAGCGGCGTAAAACACAACTCACTCACTCACACACTATCCTGGAGTTAATATGGTAATATCCCATGTCATACAGGGTTTTACATGACGCATGATTCCTGCGTATTTGACGCAACAAATTTTCTAAAAGACTCTCAAAATGTTATCATACGAGTCAAGCTTGACGCAAGTTTTATGAGTGACCCTCAGAATTCAGTTCAATAAAATTGATTAGATATTTAAAGCAAACAGTGATAGTTTTCATTTTATTGCAAACCGTGTTGAAAACGCTCATGTTATTAACAGAAAGTATAGGAACTCCGAGTGACTGAAAATAGAGCCATGCTGCAATGTGGTAAAGGTACCAGCTAATAGGATATCCATAGAATATAAAGCTTGCAATTTGTCAGGTATATTGTAGGTGAACCCTGCGGGTGAACCTGCTGGTGTTCAGTATACTGGAGTTTGTTATGACTGAACAGTGAAACATATACTATTTATTTACTACTCATTTTAATGACAATGCATCACAAAACCGCAAAATCTTTGCAAAACTCTTGCTTTTGGATTTACACAAAGAAATATTACCTTAAAATTTTCATGACTCCCAAATATTGAAAATGACTCCCAAAAATAAATACTGTGAGTTACCATGACTCCCATTTTTCCAAGTCTGTGTAAAACCCTGGTCATAGTGAGTACATGAGCGAGTATGGGTTAATACAGCTTTCCGCACACAGTGGGGGGCACCAGAAAACGGCTTCACACCTCATACCAATCCTTGTACACACACAATCCCCAAGTACAAATCAATCCATTAAGTCTCCACATGAAACAAGCAAAAGGGCAGGAGGGGAAATATTCCAAACCAGAATTCAAATATCTTGATTGGCTAGCACTCTTAATCAAAGTTTGTATCACAAAATATCACACTTTTCATGAGACAATATACACACTGAACAAGGTACAGTAGAGCAGAGTATTATACTTTGACTGACTGACTTATTAAAAACCAATCTGTAGTTATCCCATACCTGTTTATAGTATGCCTCTTACAATCTATACTCCTTGCTTTGTTATGACACGGTAAAATATAATACTTAGGTCAGCTTAGGGTAACGTCATAATTTATGGTCTATCTGGTAGTGGATCCACATTTCTTTTTTCAGTCGTCAGTGATAAACAAAGATAAAATGTATTCATGTAAGGGCAGTCTTCTGTTTCTCAGGAGTGACCCATATATAAATTGATGGCTTTATGTTGACACCTTAGATAAGGGTTATCTGATAATTTTAGGTCTCACTGATTTTGATGCATTTTTTTTTCAACAGCCACAATATTTCTGAAGTCATCATGGCTGTCTTACAGGTCTGGGAAAACACTGAAAAGCCTGTACTGAAAATAGAATTTCAGTCATTCAGCAAATTAAAGTCACAATGATTTTTGTTTTATGTGACATATAAACCAGATAAAACGCTTTCATTTTCTGCCGTAACATTTTAAGCATATCAAATAATAATGGATGTAGATATAGATGTAAGTTAAATCTTCAAACAAGATTTGAAAGTACATATGCTTGTCTCAGACTACAGTAAGATTCAGGAAGACGTCACATTTTCTTTAGGACTACCACCTTTACCATTAGCTAGATGGCAACTCCATAGAAGATCATTTTGTGAGCAAATTTCTAACTATGACAAATAAAATGCCATACAAACATATTAAACATTTGTAAGATTTGTCAATTACACTTTTACACATAACATCATTATGGTGAACCGAAAATGTATAAATGCATATTCTAGCAGAACTTAACATGACAAAAAAATATATACATAACACCATGATAAGCCTCCTGACGAGCTTTGACATAAAGGAGTCGGGAACAACAGGGGGTCACATGGTCATTGACCAATCTTATCACTCGCATTATGTAATAGTTTTCGTGACTTCCAAAATTATGACTCCTGCGTGTACGACTATAAACATCACTGTGTATTCAAGAATGACGATATAGATTAACCGAGAAACGCTAATATGCAATTGTACATTTACACATATTTAACTATCGTACTATCGAGTGACAGCTGATTCACTGGGTTCCCACTGACATTGAATGAATGCATGTATCTGCCTCCTAACGCTAGACATCCCGCCCCACAAACGTGAGATGTAAGGTGCATTTATGTCAGAGTCATCTGACAAGTTTGAGTATTTTGTCTGGTATTTATAGGCTTACTGTAATTTATATATTTCCAACAAGCGACTGCAAATTTATTAAACCTTTGCATGTGAATAGCTGCAAAGTCAAGAAAATACTTTGTGTACTGTCAATAATTTCCTGCGTGATGGTTTACCTCTTGCATTGGGTAATGCTAAAGGTATTAAATTTGAAAAACATACCTTGGTATACAATTGGGTGAGGTCTTTTCTATTTCCCAAGTGGCGAAGAGTTTCATAGGCACGGGTTTAACACCCAGCCATGTACTCCGAGACGTCTTGTCCGCCATCTTCTTTACCTTCTGCTACGCATGCGCGGTGTTGTTTAGCCAAACCCGGAAGCGAGATTAGCAATTTGCTGTCAAAACAACACGAGGTTATGTAATATATTCTGGCCACATTTGCACCACAACGCAACCAGTTCTTTCTTGCTATTTCTCGATCAGCAAGTATTCACGTTCCACACTTTTCCGATATTAATGCACTGTCATCGCAATTTGAAGCACGATGAAATTCAAACAACTGCTTCCCGTCAGACAACAATGTAAATAATATGTCTAAATGCTTCACTTCATTCCACGAGTGACTACATGTACAGACCATACCGTTATCATAATTGATATTCTCTTCACTTTGACTCACAATTAACTTTTTGTTATGTTCAAATAATGTTAATAAACTTTCCAACATATATATTTGTTTAATTACGATATCATAAAAAAATAACAAAGTCAGTTGGATATATAAAAAATGATTCTGTTTGAAATACGATATTCGCTTTTTCACATATACTTTTAAATATACGTGACCTTTAGCATACAAATTCCGGCATATTTTTTTTTTTCAGAAAATAACGGAAATACTCCCTTTGTTGATTAACTATCCTATTGTTCCCAAATCATTATTTGCTTGGCAAAACTCTGGTTAATCTCTAATTACCTTGAATGACAAAACTTTATGAATGATCAACTTCTTTATTTTATTTTATTTCGGTATAGATCATTATATCGTTTTCAAGCATATGAAATAAAGAAGTTGATCATCCATAAAGTTTTGTCATCTCTATACCACCAACTTCTAGAATGCCACTCAAACAAATCTAATTACATTGCCATTCACACACCATTGTCACCTGTCCTTAAATCTGTTAGGAACTGGTGATTTATATAATGGAGAGGGGAAGCTGGGGTCATGACAAACCGTTGAGAACATAACATTCGGGTCAGCAAAATACGTAATCCTGAGAGTAATCTTAGCACCCCCTCCCAACTCTATAACCCCCACCCCCTCCATCTACACACACCTCGCAAACCTACCCCATGATAATTTTCCAGATCCCACAAGTACCCACCTGCTCATGTGTTTTATTGAAATTTGAAAATCCGTAAATTAGAGAAATGAATATGTGTTCCCCAAAACTGTTTTCTGTCTAGCTTTTCATATTAGATGAATAATTCATCTCGTAAATGCATATTCCGACTGCGAATAATTTTTCCAAGCTTTTCTTAACGTGTTTGTGAGGAATGTGCCACAAATAAATATACAATAGTCTGTATTGTGTTGTTGATATGACCAATGAATTCTCATTACCATACAGCTGCTGCAATGCTCGATCAATTTCATTCAGTATTTTTAGTAAAGGAAGATAACGACGTAGTCACGCTTGAAAGTGAGATAAAATTTGCGTCGACAATATTTCAGCTAAATAAAGACGTGAACAAGCCTAGACATCCACCCAAGTGCGTCTCAAATACAGTGTAACTTGACAATATCATTAACAACTTTTTTTAAACCGTGGCTGTAATCCAACAGCACTCTTCGTAATCTGAAACATTATCAAAGCAATGTAGTGGTAGATCTACTTGTAATGTCACAGCTGTAAAGAAAAGTATATTTATAATCTCCTTGCATTCTTTTCTCAACAATTGAAGATGAAATAGCGCTTTTCTTGTATGAATTAAACTGAGCACTTCGGTCGCGCGTCTGTAAATGATGCATCAAGAGTTACCCCTTCATATATCGAACACCCCAAACCCAGACTCGATCGTGAGAAAACAACATGGTTCAGACCGTTTATCTGTATTCCATGTACAAGGTTATAAGACTAATGACGAGGGTTCAGTTTATTGAGGAAGACAAAAACTGCATAAGAAATCTTTCCTAGAAGATATTTACTTGAGGCTGAGATGAGGGTGCTTGTGCGTATATATATTTATTCCATTCAGCTGAAGCGACGGGTATTCGTGGTTTGAAAACAGACCTCTCATGCGTGTTGTAAGAGACAACTAAATTGATCAGGTTGTCGTGTTCCATGGTTATGATATTTCCATTGTTATTGTTTCGTCTGGTTCAGACTCGATTATATAATGAACCAGAGGTTGTATCATAACCATGGTTACAATTATAGTGTATCTTGTGACGCGCAATCAAACGGACTGGGGGCGGTGGGGTAGCCTAGTGGTTAAAGCGTTCGCTCGTCACGCCGAAGACCCGGGTTCGATTCCCCACATGGGTACAATGTGTGAAGCCCATTTCTGGTGTCTCCCGCCGTGATATTGCTGGAATATTGCTAACAAGCGGCGTAAAACCACACTCACTCACTCAAACGGACTGAGTTGTCATAAGCGGACCAGGGGTTAATAGGGACCCCCGATGTATGCGGCAGCAGTGTCGTATTTATAGAACCTACACCCGATCCCATTTTCCACAAAGTTGTATAAGACGGCATCAGTGGTTAAGTAGACGGAGCGTCTGCCCGTAGAACCTAGGTCTGTGGTTCGATCCCCTGGTCTCGTCCGGATCAGGGGTTAAGTGAGTGAGTGAGTATTGTATTACGCCGCTTTTAGCAATATTCCAGCAATATCACGGCGGGAGACACCAGAAATGGGCTTCACACATTGTACCCATGTGAGGATTCGAACCCGGGTCTTCGGCGTGATGTGTGAACGCTTTAACCACTTGGCTATCCCACCGACCCTCAGCGAGCCTGACCACCCAAGGGTGTCCTATACAGCTTTGGGGAAAAGGGGGTTGGATCCGAGTTCTGTAGATACGACAATGCTGCCACATACATCGGGGGCTGTATAGGACACCGGTCAAGTGGACGCCTCGCTTGTATAACGGAGTTCTGTGGTTCGATTCCCAGGAAACGCAATTTTAAAAGAGGTTAGCCAGGTATATTTTGTTGCCCGGCCTGGCGCTCGACATAAAACATGGAGTGGTTGGGTTGGAGCCAGCATTCCGAGTGGGTTATACATGTTAAGTGAGTAAGCTGTGTTTTACGCTGCTTTTAGCAATGTTCCAGCAATATCACGGCTGGGGACACCAGAAATGGGCTTCACACACTGTACCCATGTGGGGAATAGAAATGGGGCCTTCAGCGTGACGAGCGAACGCTTTAACCCAGTTACCCCAATACATGTTACACAGTCAATAATTCTAAGAGATGCATGTTGCAGTGTGACGTGTCTCAGTGCCCGGTGAAACCAGACTAATAACCATAGCTAAACACGCACGCGCGCTCCCTCTCACCCAAAGGCTATATTCGCACTTGGTGACCACCCAATCCACATTTTATCTGGCTCTTCCAAAATAAAAGGTATTTAGCCTATTCTCCCCAAACCCTACTGGGTATTGGTTTATCATTAACAGGAAGAATATCCGTTACACGAATCACCGTGTTGAGTTACTAATGAGAATGCAATGCGTACAATGACATAATGGGGTTTCTAGACAGTTGTACAAAGTGATTGCCAGTCGATCTGGAGACAACTCTGAGAGTTCCCATGGTTTTCCAGCAATATCGATGAAGGCAGAGGAAACATAGACGGTCTGTGTACTGGTATCGATTGATCGCCTATCAGAACTAATCCCAGACGGACGAGCACTTGATTGAAGCTATAGAGGAAGGCAATGGCACATACGGGCGGTTCTGATTTCTCTGTGTCTCCGACACAAACCCAGTTTTTCATCGTTTAATATCGAGTAACAAGGGAGTGGTATTGTCCGTTCATCACGACAAATTGATGTGGTCAGTTTCTGTATTGTTTCGGACATTGTAGGCCTATTCTGATTAGTTCAGATATTACTAAGTCATAATTAGTGATCGTTTTAACGAAATTGATTCATATTTATAGCATATCATTACAAAATTTTAACAATAAATTAAAAAACCCATGCATATAGTTTTACGCCGCAGTGAGCTACAATATATCACGGCACCCCGTGAATAATCGAGTGAGTTGTGTTTTACGCCGCATTTAGCAATATTCCAGCAATGTCACGGCGGGGACACCAGAAATGGGCTTCACACAATGTATCCATGTGGGGAATCAAACCCGGGTCTTTGGCGTGACGAGAGAACGCTTTAACCACTGGGCTACCCCACCGCCCCTGTGAATAATCGACCAGACACACCAGACCCTTGAGTGACCTTCGCTTGGGTTGACTTTGACCACTCAGGTTTGATTTACGACGATTTATTAAAGGTTCATGTGTGTAAACTGGCCCAAACAAATGCGCACTGTTTCACAGAAAGGGATCGTGGAGCGATAGATCAGCTGGAAATCGGTTGGGTCCAATCAACAATGGCAGTGTAACATATGTTATATCTGGGATTACACTTTCTTAGTAAAGTACAAATTCTAGTACTTTTTTGAGTTGAGCCCCATCCGGGATTCGAACCCACACCCTCAGAGTCAGGCACCTAATCGCCAGCACACAAAGTCAGCCTCTAACCCGCTCAGCCACCGCGGGTGTGGGTTCGAATCCCGGATGGGGCTCAACTAAAAAAAGTACTAGAACTTTACTAGACCACTTTCTTAATGGCATTGTATAATAATAACAATGGCAGTGCTACTGCGTCACTGGGACGTGAGACCCAGCATTAATACTGTATGTCCTCGTTCAGATGTACATTTCTTTCAGACACTCCTGAAGCCGGACGTTTAGTGGAAGCCGCATATCTTCTATATTAGGGGACTAACGGGATCGGGTGGTCAGACTCACCGACTTGATTGACACATGTCATCGTGTCCCAGTTGCGTCGATCGATGCTCATGCTGTTCATCACTGGATTGTCTTGTCAAGACTCGATTATTTACTCCGATATTTATCACTTCGACCCGCATTATTCCCAGCAATCACTGTCATATTGCATCTACTCATGTCTCGAAATGAAGTGTAGTCACAGAAAATGGATACCCATACATATTTTGTTTTGCTGAGAGTCACATGTAGCTGGACGAACACATGTCAACAAACTGTGCATTGTTTATAACATTAAAGTTTGGGATTCATATTATAGTGAAAGCTTCTGTT